CGGGGCCCCGAGGGGGCGGGGCCGGAAGCGGCCGCGGCCATCTTAGGAGCCGCTGAGACGAGACTCGGTGCGGACTGCGTGGTTCACTGGTCCCGGGTCCTGCCCTCAGCTGCCCTTGCGAGCGCTCAGGGCGAGGCAGGCGGAGCGGAAACGCGCAGACCCTCTCCAGGCAGCGCGAGACATTACGGGGTCACACTGCTCCCAACATGTAAATTTGGAAACTGAAAGGACAGAAGTTTACTTTCCGTGTATTTTGTGGTTGTGCTGAGAAGGGTGTGCTGAGGAACCCCCAAACCCAAGGACTCGGCTGCTGTGGGGCGCGGAGGCGGCCCTGCACCCCGGGCCGCGGCACCGGCCTAGGCTTGCGGTAGTATTTTGTTTTTCCTCAAGGGAGGGGACTGCGGTCTGTCGGAGCTGGAGTGACGTCTGGGCTCGCCTCGTGAGTGTTGCATAGGGTGCTGAAGGCAACCGGAGGCTTAGAATTGGGGTGTGACCAAAGCCATGGGGAGGTTGACATGGAAGCCCAGAGGCTTCAATCTCCAGTACAGAACCTGGCCCGGGCAGCCACGTCTTCGTACACTTTTGCCCCATCTACACCTAAATGGGAAGCATGGAGTAGGACCCTTCTTCCAAATTGCAGAGCGTCACCTGACCCATCCCCTTATTTCCTTATCAATAATGTGGGTGCCACCCTCTCTCTAGTCACACTCACCCTCCACCCACCCCTTTCTAACTTAGGATCCTTTATTCAGACACAAAGCCAAAGCCAGCAGTGTGTATAAATACTGTGCTTTAATGGACCCCTTAAATAAAAATGTCACTACAAAAACATACAATTGGAAGAGACAAGGTGTTTCCCGTTACATTTCATAGCCATAGGAAGCTGTAATGGAGGAAATAGAAATTGGAATTCAGCATTAAGAGGTGAGAGTGAGGTGTGTAGGCCATCTGGTCGGGACTGATGAACAGAATCTGATCTCACTGATCTCAGCTGGATATCCAAAAGGGATGGAATTGCCTTCAAAAAAGAGGTTATCATATTCTGGATTATTTTTGTTTTTGTGTCTTAATTCTTCAAATCGCAATAAGCTAGATAGGTAATCTTGAGGAACCAAATCGGACTGAGCAAGAGTTGGAGGTTAGCACCACCAGTCCTCATTGGAAACTCAGGTCAGTGAGTTTGTTTACGGGTTGGAGTGTGAAAGCCGAGGCAGTAAGACCAGATGAGAAAGCTGAAGGATTAGTCAGAACCCTCCCTCACCCAGACCGCCTTCTACCCTGCCCATGAGAGAGTCAGCAATTTCAATGGGATTGGGAGAGAATGGTATTTGGATCTCTATTCTTGGAGTGATCTTCAGGAGATATTCTTGGTGTCCATTTCCTTAATAGCTCCTGAAGATGGGATAGCTCATCTTGGAGGCCAGAGATTGTGGGAGCTGAGAGGCCCATCTAGGGAGAGGGTGAAGAGAAGTGGAGAGGAATATTATTGCAGCTCTAGCTCTCTGCTTCTGAAATCTGTCTGCTACTTCTGGTATCTTTAATTCCCTTTACCCCTCCAGCTATGCCCTAAGTTCCACTTGAAGTGAGCCATAGGCAGTTTCCCCCACCCATCCACACTCCCAAACCTATTCACGTTGATACCAACACGAATGGTACTTCACTTACCAATCTCCCAACCCCCTTTTCCAGCCCCTGAAAATAACCTGGTTTCTGTTTCTACAGCAGTCAAACCCTTCTCCCACCCCCAATCCCCGTCTTCCCTTCTCACCTGGACCTCAGGCCTCCCCCTCAGGTAGCAGCGTCTCCAGAGCCTGATCTGGGGTCCCAGATATCCAGGCAGCAGCAGCCCCGAGGGTAAAGGGCAGGCTCCCCAATATGAGGGGAGCCCCCACTCCTGATCAGCCAGACTTTCAGAGGAGATAGCAGGTCGAGGGAGCCAACGAGAAGAGACTGCCAGCAGGGAAGGGCTGTCCCGCCAAGGACAGAGCTGATTCAGAGGGGTCAAGGCCCCTCTAGAGAAGAGCCACACAGAACTCGGGGGTCCAGGAACCATGAAGCTTGACTAAAAGGAAACAGGAAATCAAGCGGCAACTAGAAACAGATGATCCCAGTTTCCGCAAACTGGGTCAAGAAGGAATGTGCAGCTGCCACCCACTCACACTACACTAGAGATGGAACGACAAGCCTCCGGCTGAGAACGGCATCCTTCCTCCTCATTAGGTTTTAGATTAGGCCTCAGGATGGATTAAAGTTGATTTTAAGGAAACTTATAAAATCTGTACGTGAGAAGATGAAGACAAAAAGGATGTTCTCTGCCATTCTAGGATTTCTGACTTCTTGGGGACAGTCAGGGACTATGACAGCTACAGAATAAGAGTGGGGTAGCTTTCCCCGGGGAACTCAGATATTATTCTCCCCACCTAGTAGGATGAGCCTGTGAGAAAGTCGAGGGAGTTTAGGAAGTTTAGACAGCTCACCTGCTGTCTAGGGAGGAGCCAGGAATCTGGGCAATGTTCCGGGTCATAACCAAGGTTGTGGAATTGTAGTATCTGTTCGTTGCTGTAGCGTAAATCCCAGTCCCAGACAGACAGCTGTGGGTTAACAGAGTTCCCAGCTGCGGGCTGGGAGTACCCTGGGGTGTAGACTTGTGTATAGGAGTTGAACTGAACAGAGGAAACAAGAAAAAGGATGGTTAAACAAAAAAACCCGTAATCCTGCCAGGCCTAGAGAGAAATCATGAAACTCTCATCTCTTACTCCAGAAGACAGATGTAGGGTGAAAGCCCACCCCTGAGAGTGAGCACCAACCTCCCCCTTGCCCACCCATGGCACCTCACTTTTCATAAATCAAGACCAAGCTTCAGAAATTACTCCTCAGTGTGGCAGGGAGGCGGGGAATCAAAAGTGGAAGCCACTCACCTGTCCACTCTGCTTCCCACGTTCCCAGGGAGTGTCTCTCAAGAACGTAAGGGTGTCAGGAACCCTGACACTGTCGTGCAGGGCAAGAAGGAAAAACTCAGAGAATTCAAACTCAGCTGGAAACTGCTGGAGGAGCTGCCAGACGCAGTCGAGGAAGAGGAGGAACACTGGGGCCTGAGGAGAGGGAAATTAAGAGGATGGAACTGTGGGGACCTAAAGGGGGAAGAAGACAAAATGACGGGGGATGAGAGGGACACTGAACGGGCCACTAAGGAGATCAAGAGATGGAAATCCGAACTGAGCATAGCAGGGGGTACGGTCCCTCGTGCGTCTGGGTCTCCCTCCAAGCTCTGCCGAACCTCAGGACCCTCCGGACCTGATTCACCTCCAATGGACTATACTCTATAACTTTCTGATCCCCTTCTTTATAATAGTGCCCCCCACCCCAATACCCTCCCCAAACATTCTCACCTTTTCACTGACCCTAGTTCCCCCAAGTCGGGTCAGGAAGGGATGTCCAGCCGCCACCCACTCTCGCTGCACTAGTGACTGGAACCCAAGCAGTGTTCGGGCTTCAGGGGCTGAAAGCAGCTGGACGAGTGAAGAGAGGAGGCCATTGAAATCACGATCACCGCGCTCTGGGTGATAAAGGGAGAAGGGACAAAGAAGGAGGGGCCAATAAACTAGGGCGGAAGAGAATGAGAAAAGGAAACATGGCAAGAGGAAGGGAGAGGCGCGGAGGGGGAAAGTTTGGGGTGGGCAGGATTGAGAGGGCGCGCAGAAGTGAAGAGAAAACAAAGACCTCGAATGACTCACTTACAGACTCCACCTGGCTAGAAATACCCAGCCGCATGTGGAGGCAGAATTATAAATCTTAAACCAGCTTCCACATTGTCCTTCCCGCCCCAACCCCCAACCCCCATCCACTGATGGAAGGATGGGAACAGAGGGCGGAAAACCCTCCGTTAGGGACCGCGAGGTGTAGTTGGGAGGCAGAGTAGCCCTGAAGGATGAGTTGGAGGTCGTGAGTAGTGCCTGGCGAAGGGAGGGAAGGATGGTAACACTGGGAGGAGACGAGGAAGCCTCATAGGTCTCCCTCCCTGAGTAGAACCCGGCCAGGTGGGTAAAGGAAAAAGTCAGGTAATGGAGTGAGTTGACCCAAGAAACTCACCTTGAAGTACTACAGAGCGAACCCTGGATGTCACTAAGACTGAGATGTCACTGGCCTTTCGAAGACAAGACCTGGAGGGGCAGGTGAGGAAGAGGAGGGAAGAATGATAGCCTGGAGGAGGAGAGTAATGGGTCAAGGGATGGAAGAGAGGCAGACTCAAATCCTGCCCCTTCTAAGGGGCAGCAAATAAAGTCTTGGGAAACCAAGGAGAAGAGTTAATGGAAGGCCACGTAGGCGTCCAAGTTAACAGAAGGTTGGGGAGGGTTGCATTACAAATCATGACTGGAAAAAGACGGAGTACCTGACATAGTCCAACCATCGTGTTCCTTCCAGGGCGGAGAGCCATTTATCCTCAGCTACCGATGAATCTGAGAGAGGGCAGAGGTCAGAAGGGCAAAGATCAGGAGAAGTCGGGATTCAAGATTCAGGGTCTACAGCCCAAAGGGTTAAGAATAAGTTGGATAGTGGTTGCCTAGGGCTGGGGGTAGGAAGGAGAAGTCACCGCCAATGGCCATGAGGTTTCGAAAGTTAAATTGTGATATTTGTACAACACCGTAAATATAATAAAATTCATTGAACTGAACAGTTAAGATGCTATGTAAATTATCTCTCAAAAAAGCTGTTTTTTTAAAAAAAAAAAACTGCGTTGGGGAGACAGGAAATCAGGAAGTCTGGGATACGGGAGAGTTGAGTAGAAAACTAAGGATCAGCAGGCTGAAGAGTTACTCATCTATCACAGGCAAAAAGTAAACCGGGTTAGGGTCAGCGGACCTAAGGGTAGGGGTAGGGGTCAAAGGTGGTTCTCACCAGGCAAGCAGAGGGCCCTCAGCCTCAAGTGGGCAAGTCGGACATCTGCAAGACTAGGCAGCTCATCCACAGCGTCCACCAGGACAACGTCGGCGTGCCCGGCCTGGAGCATCGACTCAGCTGCTCTGGAGGGGAGGAGTCAGCGAGTAAAGGAGCCGTCTGCCCTGAGCCACTGGCCTTCGATTCTTCTCATCAACCCTCCCTCACCTGATGTCCTCCTTGTTAGGGTCACTGGCTGCATAGAAGCCACCACAGCGGAGAAGATCACTGCCCCCAGGGTGATGCCAGCACAGGCGCTTCGAATAGGTGAGTCGAGGATCATTGTGGGAAAAACTCGCTCCGGCCCTGACTCCGCCGGGAGCCCCTCCCTCCACAGATGAGCCCCGACCTCCCGTAACCCTCCAAGGCACACCCATTACCCTGACCCGCACACTGACCGGCCCTCGACCCTGATGGAAGTGGCTGAATGCTCTCCTGACTTCGCTGTCCAGAGTCCGGTTAGGGACCCAGAAGTAACGGGGGAGGCTGTGAAATTGAGAGTTAGGTCATGTCTTGGCTTAGTGACCTCATCGTAAGGCAAAGCTGCGATGAGGAAGATGCTTAGGAGGGGATCAGTCCCAGTGATCTCAGACGTAGAGACCCAGGAGGTGAGGGGGATAGCTCTGTGACTGTCCGGGGATAGCTCTGTGACTGTCCGGGGAGGCTGGAGTGTGTGGCAGGTGTAGCTTTAGAGGAGCAGGGAACTGTGGGAAGACGGGGCGGCAGGTGGGGGTGGTCAGGGGATCACCTGGTGGCTACGTCGAACCTCTCATTGACGAGGCTGACCCTCCAGGAGCTGGCCCCCTGCTTTTTCCTCTCAGTCTCCCAGTCTTCTGATGTCTCCAAGAGGGGAATGGATGGCTTTCTGGAGCCAGAACTCTGGCCTACGCGTGAGGCGTGGAGGAGGAGGGAGAGGAACCAGAGACGCCTTCTCAGCTCTTGTGTCTTCAGCAGCCTCTGTTTTTCAGTCTCTACCCTTTCCTTGCCCCAAAGCATCCTCACTCACCAGCCTTGCTCAGGGTTATTCCTGTGTACGGTTGGGCTCGACTGCTCTGAGCTCTGGCTTGGACAATGGCCATGGTCACCTATGGGGAAAGGACAGTCCATCCTTTGGGCTCAGACTGAAGCGAAAGAAGAAAATGGGGCCCATGTGTTTCTTCACTGTCTTTGCCACCAGTAGAAAAGAACAGCGAAGACAGTCCCTGACGAGGGAGCTTCCACGGGCCAGGGGCCTGGGGCCAGGAGAACACGTACGGAACCACAGAATCACAGAGTGTTAATTCTGGGAGGAATCTTAGGAAGAATCTCCTCCAACCTGCCCTGTTTTTCAAAGGAAAATACTTGCCCAGTCACACTCCTGATAGTTGGCCAAGCTGGGCTAGAATTCATGCCCTTTACTCCCATTATGCTAACATTTACCTCAGGCTTTTAGCCTTTCCTTGAGGAAAGAAGCAGAGGGAATGACGAGAGGCGCCCTGGGAGATAGGGGCGTCTTGGGAATTGCCAGGGAAAGGACCCCAAGGTTCTGAGGGGAGGAGGGGTGCCTCGGATGGGGGTGCCTCTTACCTGAAAGGCTTGAGGCTCTAGTCCTCCAGCCTCAAAACCAATTCTGAGCAGCCGGAAGTCTCGGCCGTGAATCAGGATCTCCTCGGGGATGAATTTAAGCAGTGCCCCTGGACGGTGGAGCTGGACCCGGGATAGGCCACTCACTAAAATCGGGAGTTAGAGGAAAGTGTAGTCATGGATTGGGGTGCCCCTAGAAGGACCTCTCCCTGCCTATCCCACTGCATTCCCAGCTGTGCCCCGAGAAGAGGGGAAGGGTGAAGAGGAGTTCCAACACCCCAGCGAGCCCCTTCTCCAAACCCCTGTACTCACCAGCCTCTAATCGCCCAATGTTGACCAGGGCGAAATCATATTCACTGCTCAGGGGAGTGTCCTAGGGGAAGCACAAGGCCGATGCCAAAGACTTCTGAGATCTCGCTCGTCCTCGCTCTGCCGCCCCTCGCCTCCCTAGAGAGAGTCCTCACTGACTCTCCCCAATACAGTCAAAAGACAGCCCTTCAGCATCACTCTGTCTCACTTCCCGTAATGTCTGTCTAAATCCTTCTAGACCCTCCTCCCCATCTCCTGCTCACAGTCTCTTCCATCGCCTTAACCATCTCACCTGACTCCGCCGCCATCCACAGGGCTGGAAGGTAACCCTCAGGTTGGTGCAGATCAGGGTTCCTGGCAATTCAGGTTCCAGCCCCTTCCGCACGCCGGGGGCCCACGCTAGGGTCTGCTCCCCTACAGGAGGAGAAGAGAGGTTATGACGACCCCCAGTGCTGCCACCCTCACATACACCCACGCCTGTGAGACAGGAGGGTCTGAAGAGGGAAGATTAAGATCCTCCTCTAACTCCTGAGAATGAAAGCTTAGGAGAGAATTTGTATTCCTTTATTCTAGAGCCTAGAACAGTGCCTGGCACATAGTAGGCGCTCAATTATCTTTTTAATAAGTAAACGAGAAAAGGGGTAACAGAGTCAAGAAAACAGATGGACCGTCAAGGTCCAAGCTCCCAGCCAGCTCAGGACAGAGAAGAGAGCGAGCCTCAAACAGGAGCACTTTGAGCCAGGAGAGCATTACAGAGGTATCTTTAGCGAGGATATGAAGCCAGGCTTGAGTGGTATGACATTCGAAGGCATCTCTGGAGAGTAGAAGAATTGGAAGAGCATATTACCTGGGAGGCATCCAGAGGCCAGGCGACTGCCAAGCTGACGACTCCTGGGCTCCGGAATCCCGCCCTCCTGGACAGACTTCGGTCCAGAGAGCTGTGAAGGGTGTAGGGTTAATCCCCCGGCTTCTCCACCCCTGGGGGCCGGGATCCACTCAGCCGCCACCTTTGGAGGCCTACACTCAGACTCTCAGGGGAAACTGAGATCAGTGGCTTTGGGGAGCTCAGGACCAGGGCTGGCAGGCAGTAAAGGGAGGGGCTGGTTAATGGGTAATGTGACGATGAACTTGAGACTGTGAAAAACACAGACCAAGCTCCATCATCAGGTTATGAGACACACCCTCCTGCTCCAGATCCGTTTCTTCCCAATTTTATCTCCACGTCCTCCCCATTTACACCCTCTGGCCGACCTCCCTCTCCCTCCCAAGCCCAAGTTTCCTCTCCTTACCCCCATCTCTGGCTGCTCCTTCTGGGGGGCGATGTCGAAACTCTGGCCCCGGCCCCCCCACCACATTTCTCCGGCTCCATCCGGGGACGGAGCAGTTAGGGGTAGGAAACTTCGAGGATGCTCAAGCCCCTTGCGGAGAGGCTGGGTCTTGTTGAGAGGAGGTCAGTGAGGGAGAGGGGCAGCGGGTAAACTTAGGGGAAAGGAGCCTTCGAGGTGAGGTGCGTGGAGCACGATTTGGGGGCTTTGAAAGGTGTGTCCAGCCCAGCTGGAGGAGGCTCCTTGGGAAACTTCAGCCGACTCTGGAGAGGGCGGGAGGGATGCCCAGCCCCTTAAAGGAGCACACACACAATTTTGGGAAAGTGGAGAGGAAGTGGAGGAGCCTAAGAAAGGTGAGAAAAAAATGGGGAGCTGGGAAAAAATACCCAGATTCCCTTCTTTACCCCACTCCCAGCTCCGATTCTCTTCGAGTTCACGAGCATTGGAGACTGAGGGGGGCAGTAATACCAAGTATGAAACTAGAAGGATTTGGGCCACTTCTCTAGACTCAGTGGTGGCTTCCCTGGGGAGCTCCGTTTCTTTATATCTTGAGGGGAGGTGGGTGGAGGAAGTGGGAAGAACACAAAGGTACTTAAGGCTTCCTTACTGCCTCCCCTGACAGACCTAACAAAAGCGGTTGGGAAGTAAATGCAGATTAGACCTCAGGGGATTTTTTGCCTGGGGAGACCCAAGAACTGGGGAGGGGGTCGAATCAGTTGTTTGTACATCCTTCTCCAGAGAGCATAAAACATATTTCATGTGAAGGGCGCAGTGGAAAAGTAGGGAGAGAAACTGAAATCTCTCCAGGATGCAGACACAAGTATCGGTATGTTTATGTGCCAGTTTCTGGGGCGGGGGTGGGAGGCCCAAGCAAAAGATCTCCCCACTTATTCCATCACACACACACCCCGACCAATGAGAAACTGGAGCCCACTCCAGGTACCTAGTTCCTCGCTCCAACCCAGACAGACACCAGATCTCCAAATTAATAATTCATGTGCAGGACTTTGAAAGCTGAGGGCTGGAAACCTCTGTTCAGCTCAACAACCCCACTCCTCCCCCCTCCCTGCAACCCAAGAAGCAAGATGTGGAAGGGTGGGGGACACTAGGAGGGGAAGTGAGGGGACCGCAGCTGACCGTGACAGGCGAAAATCTCCATTTAGATATGAAAAAGACAGGAAATAAAATAGAAAGCGAGAGTTAAAGGGCTGCTGTTTTATTGATTTTGAGTCTGTACAGAGGCAGCAATCCTTAGGTGGGGGCCCGAGTTTTCCAAGTGACACTGTCTCTCCAACCCCCAGCACACACACACCCTTCCGGCCTCAGCTGAGCAAGTCCCCTGTCTTGGCTGAGACTGTGGAAACAGTGAAAATATCGAGACAGGGAGTCGCTCTGGAACAGAGAGGCATTACACCTGCTGCGAAGGTGGCCCATGCGCCCGATTCTCCTGATTCTCCAAGTCCTAAAAGCTATCGAGCATTTCCGCCCCCACCCGCGTGCCACGGGCCTCAGTCTGGGGGCGGGGGACACCTCCCAAGGCCCGCCACGGGACGAGGTGCGCACCACCTCAACATCTCATGATCCACTTTGCTTCTCGCCGCCGCTCTCTATTCAAGAGCCTTATTTTATTCTTTAAGTACTTCGAGGTATAGGAGCAGCAGAGAGAGAGAGAAAAAACATCAAGGAATTGGAGGGAAGCAGCAGAAAAAAACAGTGGGTGATTCGGATGGGCATCCAACCAGGAACGCAATGGGGGCAGCAGCTGAGGCTTGAGTGACAGGACCCTACCCCCCAATCGCCACCCCACATACGCCCAGTGGAGGTTGAGTGGCTGACAGGAAGGGCGGAAAGGCAAGGGCTGTATTAGATTTTTCTATTTTCAGAATCCTGCTCTGGTTGCAGGTTTGTGCCAGGACTGAAGCCTGCGGGAGGGGCGGCTGGAGGAGGTGGGGTGAGTGGCTCACAGATGAGTCACAGATGCAGTTAGCTGCACTGGAGGAGGCCAAAGTCCTTCCACCCCCACGCCTGTCAGCCCCGTGGCTGTCAGGCAGCTTCCGTTCCCCATCTCAACCGCCAGGCCGGTGAAGGGCTGTGGCATAGGGAGTGTCTGCACGGGGGACTTCATAAATTCTGTCAATCAGCTTAAGTACAGGGGGCGAACCACAATGTGCTCTGCAGACTGGGGCTCCACAAAGCGCAGACAGTGCCCAGTGACTCACGGAGTCTGCAGCCGAAAGGCCTCCAGGGAAAGATTAGAAAATCCTGGGGTGCAGATGATCCAGGCCAGGAAGGGGCTCCTAATTCTGTCCTTTCAGCTGTGGCTATGTGTCTGGGGCACTGACTCCCTGGAGAAAGGGGAGGACACGGAGTCCAGAAGTGTCTGAGTAACTCGGGGACAATCATCTCTGAAGCTCTTTTATTGGGAAAGAAAACATTGTGACTGGAACTTTGGACATATGGCTCTTTAGAGATGAGTAAGGGTGGTAAAGGGTTCTCGGAAGTCACTCAGATCCAGCCACATTCTCCCCAGCTCGGTGTGACCTCCTAAATGCACCAAAGTCACAGCTCTTGTGTGTTTGTTTTATTGGTCTGTGAGCTTCGCTTTTGCTTGAGAAGACACACAGCCAACGGAGGCGGCCCCTCCGGCCCCGTGCACCACTGCACGCAACACCATTCCCACTCCACGAAGAGATCGAATCTTTAAAAAGAAATTTAATACAATTTTTATTTTGATGATAGAATCCAGTATGAGGGAAAAACTTTTGGTTAAATCTTTTAACCCTCAATAAAACCAGCAGAGATCAAGGGAGGTATCTGGAGGCTTATCCTATGGTATACGTGTTCCATCAGGGCTGGGGTGAATTAGGGTGGGGGGGTAGCACTGTCTTAAGTCAAAAGGGGCAAATCTCCCCTTCCCAACAAACAGCTCGGTGGGTACCCCAACACCCTGGATTAAAGGAACTAAGTGCACTTATTGAAGCCTGAGAGATGGTATCATCCCTCACCTAGGGTGACGGGGTCGGTCCCCACCCCCACCCCGCCCACAGACCTCCCCTAAGATAAGGAATTTTTGCTCACACCGTGTACCACTCTCCTCCCTTCTCCCCAACACAGTGATTGCATGCGCTTGCCTCTTCTACCCCCTCATCTTCCCAAAATACCACAAACCAACCCAAGTTCATTTCCCAGGCATTATTCCTTTACCCCTGTATCCCACACGACCCCCTCAAAGCAGCAAGCAAAACAAACCTTACTCATCCCTATAGAAAAACATCCACTCACTCAGGTTCCCTCATCCCTAGAATGGAGATGGTTTTTAACGTCTCAATAAATAGTTACCTTCCCAAATTAAGAAAAATATTAATTTATTTCTTAATAAAAAGCTATAGGACCTAAATAAAGCCCTATTTTACCATACTCGCCCCATAATTTCCACCTTTTTTATTTGAAAAGAGGTCACAAGAAATTAGGATTGGTTAATTTATAAATCAAAACAAAAACAAACATGACACAAGGTTTCCATTTTTGTTCATTGTCTTGTTTTTAAAAAGTATTACCTAGAATCTAATGACAGATCAAATCCAAACACAGCAGTCCAGTGGAGAATCAAAACTTCCCTGGTTTAACTCTCTGGGAAACCCCTGGTCTGTTTCCACTCCTACTGGTCCAGGGCAGGACCCTATGATACAGACATGGATGCCTACGGGAAAGCGAAGGGAGCTGTGCAAAGTCAAGGTGTGAGTTTGAGCCACCTGTTGTTCGGGTGCATGTTGGTCTCACCAGTGTTCTAACCCCAGAAACAGGGTGAGGTGAGCAAGGCACCCATTTAGTGCACAAAACTGAAGGGGTGCCCCAAAACCCAGTAACCAAGATACTACTTTAATGCAATATTTTTTGAAAATTAAAACTAATGTAAAAAAAAAACACCCACAATGAACAAATTATCACAATTGTACGTAAAGACAAGATGCAATCCCCGACTTGCTCAGCTCAACCTTATTTCCCTCACCCCAGTCCCAATCCTGTGGAATCTTGTCTTTTGTTCATCATGGATTTTTGCATTAATTAAAAACAATACTGCGTTGAGACAGCATCTGTTTTGACTGCCGAGTTTCTCAGTGCCCGCTTAAGTTTTGTACCTGAGGGGAATCTCATCTCATATGAGTCCCGGCCCTGACAGAATATAAGCTACCCCTCCTCTGGAGCCTTTGACTTCATTGGTTTCTTAAAACCAGTCTATTTTCAAATAATAGCCTAAGAATTATAGCCATAGAGAATGATTAAATTAACAGACTAGCAGATTTGGAAAATAAGTGACTTTCAAGTTTGTTGAGGAAGAAGGAATCTTTCTAAACCATAAGCAGTTCCAATAAAGAGGACAGTCGTGGTGGCTTTGTTACCAAGGGGAAACAGGGTGACAACTTTCCCCCTTGGGTAGAAGCAACATGTGGCAAACAGGAATCCCCACTGCCCCCTCCCCCGCCACCACCACCAAGACACACACAGAGCCGAATCTGCCTTAGATCACATGTGGGGATTACATTCCACGGGGTGGGTTACAGGTACATACCTCCGAAGAGAAATCCAAATGCAGAAAAATAGCCCCAATTAATACTGGACACGTAAGTACACTTATTCCCCTTCTTCATATGCACCCAGGAGTGTATACAATTGCATAGTTGATTCTTTTTTTTCTCAGAAAAAAATAAAATAAAATAAAAAGGGAAATTGGCCCAGAATAGATAGGTCCTCTGATTTAAAGCTCTTAAAAATGGTGCTGGCCAGAGCTCAGGCTGCCCAGACTTGTGCTTTGTGCAAAATGCAAAGGAGCTCCCCGCCCCCTGCGCCCTCGGGCCCACTCCCGCCCCTGGGAAAAGGGCTGGGTCGGGGGACAGGGGGAATCCAGACAGATCGGCTCATTGGGAGTAATCTGTGACCTGTGGTTATAGTTCACTAAAATATATTTCTCTACCTTTTTATAAATTGTCCCAACCCCTACCTCATTTTTCAACATCAGTCCTATTATCAAAAATATCTCTTCTTACAAAGTATTTTTTATTATTTTAATCAACTAACCACAGATAAAGGTCATCTATGGCTTAACAAAAGAAGCCAGGATGTTAAGTTCATTCTCCAAAAGTAGAAAGGAAGGAGAAAAAAAAATCACTTAAATAGGGGGAAAAGATTCACTTTTTAAAATGTTTTTGCTTGCTGGGGTCTTTTTGTTTTCCTTTAAAAAAAAAAAAAGGTAAAAAAAATAAGTTGCTTTCTACAGAAATGCAGCAGCAGAGGATGGTAGTAGTGCTCGATTT